ATTTGCATGTTATTGTTTTCAAACAGAGTCAGGGACTAGCGCTTGCGCCGCTATCTAGCCGCCAACTCCGCGAATTTGTCGAGGTCGGATGTTAAGGGCGTCACCAGGGAAGCACGGAATGTGCGTTTGGTTGTCGTGCCGAGCGAGGAATTCGCTGTGAATGTCTCTGCACCTCCGAAGACATTACGGACGCGTGCTGACGCCCTCTATGTCACCCTTCATGAGTCGTTCAAAGGTGGGTTGAGAGGAGTGAAAAACTGACCGCACTACCTTCATTTTTCCCAAGCTCAGTCGAGCTACCTCGTTCGCCGGGTTTGAAAACCAGGTCGACACCTTCATTATTTGCGGGGAGATCACGGGCCCGTTCAATTTTTGCTTCCATCGTTGCGAAAAGGTCCGACTTGTTCATAATATGATATATTCTACGGGTGGTATGGAGAACGGATTATGAATTGGTTTGGGAGTCGAGGGGAGATATAGTCGATGCCTTTAACGCGGGGTCGATGATGAAGCCTAAGAAAGACTTTCGTGTTGTGGGTTGCACCTTCGACGCGAACAGAGGAGATGGTGACGGATGTCTGGTGGTTGCCTTCAATCCAGCGAAGGGGTCGATATTGTGTCTGATGACGTGAGAGATGGGAGCAACTCACGACCTCTGAAAGATGGAGCACCGCGGATTCGTATTCGCCACGAAGTCGTCTCGCTAGCCGTTCCTCCTGCCACTTGATGAGTTTTTGAAGGTCATCAGGCTCCTTGTCTCTGGGCGCTGATGAATTTGGAGAGGCGGTCTCAACGGGGGAGCGGACAGCTCGAACTCGTCGGGTGAAAAGAATCCCATCACGTGTCGCGGTTCCGGCTTCGGACCTTCCCCGCCGGGGGTAATTATATAGGAAAAGTTGTGACATCGTATGAAGCATTTGGAAGATCGCCATGCAGATGTAACGGAGATAGCGGGAAGGTGTGAGACCGGATCCTTTGAGATCGTCAGCAATGGACCATGAAACTCCTGACAGCAAAAGCTTCGGGAAGTTATTGAATAATCGGTTGAACAAAAGGGGGGGGCTCACCTGCATAGCCTAAGGACATAATTTCCACAACAATAGGAGGGATAGACAGCGAGGGAATAGAGTAGTAAACGGTTGGTCTACAGCCATAGTTTTCGATTATGTCGAAGCGGTGGTTTTGAACAATGAAATCTAAATTTTCATTGGTATCTCAGCATGATAGAGGTGCGTTAGGACATACAAAGAACCATGTAGATTATTGGAAGGCCGAAACAGAGGAAGGCGTCGAAATATTGCCGACGGCGTTTGTCCGATGCACTCGCGTGAGCTTGGCATTGGAGGACACCTGCACGAGATTGGTACAAAGGCGAAGACAGCCTGCAGGAACCGCATTTGGCACCGACAATAAGTTTGGTCGCTGAAGACGAAGATTAAAAACGTTCAGGAGAGTGGACAACCGAAGCTCACATATACACCAGACGGGCGCTCGGATATCAACGTTACCTGCCCATACAATAGCATCTACGGCGTAGATCATGTCCGTAACGAACAGCCATGCGACGATGGAAAGGATAGCAATATTTCCGGATCTCCAGTGCCATATTAAAGGTATCGCAAGCAGAAAGGCAGCTAGGAAAGCGATGGGGGCAAACTCGGGATGCATTACAAGAGAGAGAGAGAATCAGCGCCTTCGACTCTTGTGAGAACAGTCATATTTATGGCCCTGAGGAAAGTGAGATGAACACCTAATACTTAGCTTGGTTCCGTAGATTCTTACCACTGATTTCGTAGCGTCGCAACCCCTGTTGTACCAATTATTCCGCGACCTACGCAAGGTCTGGTTAACCAAACGAAGAAAAAGGGTATTAGATGAAAAGAAATAGCGAGCAAGGAAGGCAAAGGCATTATCTCACTAACACACCACCATAGCAGGCTGACGTCGCCTTTCTACTCGCAACCACGTAAGCCTTTGTCGATCGACGCCCGAATCGCGTTTCCCGTTGGTGAGTTTGCTGGGGAAGGGGAGGAGGTCGAAAATGGCGATAAAATCTGGTTTACAGCCAAGTTAAAAACGAGAAGTGGAGGCGGCAATTGGGTTGATTTGAAAAGCATGAGAGACGACGTGGTGGCTGAAGGGAAGGACGTTGTTTGCATTTGTTGAAATTATTCCGGACCGGCATTTTTTTTGGCGACCTCCAAACAACTGTCAAGTTGTGCTGGAATTCACTCATCTGTGCAGGCTCAAAGTTACCCTTCTGTGCCCTATGCCACCGGAGATCGTCATTTCTGGTTCTAATCCCAAGTATGGTCCTCACCTCTCCACCATCATCAGCGTCCCACGCAAGCCTAGCCAGTGACTGTCAATCACTTTTTGCGGAATGCGGCGCAGAGCCGTCCTCAAGGAATAATAGTACCCGATCAATGGTAGAATTTTGTTTAGAGGCTCGAATGATATTTCCCCTCCCATGCCTTCCTTCATTCGAACGATTCTCGTGCCTGGCGTCTACGCCGCCCTGTTCTAAGCTTTGTAACTGGTATGTTTTTCTGCTGAGTCGTCAAGTCCGAGTCGTTGACTTTGTGAGTCTCGTTTAGTCAAACGACGCCTAGCGTTCGATAAATTGGATGTTGGCGCTGCCAGGAGATAAAAAAACGGCCCCTTACCCTGCTGACCTTATGGGCATATTAAAGACGAGATTCGGTTCGTTTTTACATTCTCTGCACTCATTTTATTCCACATTGCGTATCGCAAGCCTAGGTTCAACCTTGACAGACTCGTCCTCGACCACCTCTCGTCTCCGTTACAACAAGTAATTTCATCGCCTTGAGCCCAACACCACACCGACATCTACCGATCCCGCCGTCTGTAATAACTTATTTGCCGCATTGGCATGACCCATCTAAAAATCCAAGTCACAGCGTCGACGTTAGAAAAGGTGATGTTTACTTCCCAATCGCGATGGGGAGGACTCACTTGCGTTACAACGCCATTTATGTATAGCCTTGCATTGAACGAAGCCACACGACCAGAAGTTGCAGGCCTCCGCAAGTTGTATTGGCATGATGCAAAGGAGGACGGCAACTGTGATCCAGAGTCGGAATTGCGAAGTTGAAAGGTGCATCCTAAATTGACGATCTTAGGCTGTTTCTGCTTGGGGTACGTACGATGAGGACGTTGCGGGAACTTGAGAAATACTGGGGTTACTTGAATGAGGTTTTATACGGATAGCTAAAGCCTCCTTCCACCAGGTCAATGTACACGAACTTTGAAAATGAATCACATGAAAATCCCCGTCTGTTTGCCCTGATTTGCCAGGTCAGACAATTTCTCGAAGATATTCCGAGCATAGTTGCAATGGAAACGAGCCGTATAGATGAAGATAATTTTTTTACGTTGGTGGTAGAACACCCTTTGTCGAAGTCCATTATTGTTATTGTGGCGATGGAACTGCTTCTTTGGATCCGGACTTGAAATCAGAGCGCTATTGTCATATGTTCCGTTGGTAAAAAAAGATCCGATCGCGAGAAGAAGGATCTGGACCACCATTCACATTAATGCAACATGCTTTACCCCCCTCCCTTCCTACTTGTCAGTGCGGCTTGCAGATTGATACAATAACGCCGACTTTTAGCCTTTCCCCGACTAACTTTTCTTTGGGTCCGGACTTGAAATCAAGGGGCATGTGCTACACCGTTGATAAAAGCAATCCGATCGCGAGAAGAAGGATCTGTACCACCATTTACACTCCAATGTGCTTTACCCCCACCCGTCATTGCGACCTGCAGTATATATATTAATACAATAACGCCGACTTCTAGCCTTTTCCCTGACTTTTTTTTTTTCGACAAGCCTTCTTTATAAATTAATTCGATGGACGCATTCACGATGGCGCAATACACCCACGTCGACTTTGGCGACAGGCAGTTGTTGGGGAGCACGGAACGGCCCGAGGCAATCCCGTTCTGTGGAAGATTGAATTCTAGCACATCGGTAGTTTCACACCTTGACTTTTTTCGACTTGTGCAAGCAACTGCGAGCAGAAAAAAGCGGAAAATCAGCTATCATCAAGCAAACCAGAAAGTGAAAAAGGAGGAAAGAGAGCGAAAAAGTCCCAGAAAAGCACAATCAAGGCGAAAATACAGCAGCTAAGTATCCAAAGTGCCGTTCCACGTCTGTGTATAATCTACCCAATATCACGGAAATTTCCCTTAGCCCAGAAAAAACTAAGAAAACAATCAATGTCAGAATCAAGTGTGCGCTCGCCCGCACAGGATCGCTAGTCTCCGAGACTAGGAATATCTCGAGGAGAGGAGATAAGATCTCGTCCCCACCCGTGCGCCCCAATCAGACTACTAATCGTAGGAGGGTTCAAAGGTGATGCTCCACAGAACGGGACTGCCTCACGCCGTTCCGTGCTCCCTAGCAACTGCCTGTCATAAAAATCGACGTGGCTGTATTGCGCCATCGTGAATGCGTCCATCCAATTGAATTATTAAGAAGGCTTGTCGAAAAAAAGTATAGAAGTCGGGGTTATTGTATTCCCGAGGTGCTCCACAACTGTCGAGACTTTTGGAGCTTTGCGGAGTCTTTCAAGTACTGTTTATCGGACTGGTGATGAGAAACTAGGAACAAACAAGAAAAGAACACATCGTCCTGCAGATCATGCTGCGGAGCAAGTTATGATCGGCTCGAAGCTGCCGACATCCATGATTTGGGCTAAAGTTGGAACGCACCTCAGACATCGCAAGACTTCCATCCGTTAAGCCAGGCTTGATAAGTGCCTCAGCCAGTGTTCTTCTCTGCAATGAGAGAGTCGGAGAGGATGAGTTGGGCTTGTGTAGTGCGCTCGGCATTCTTGGTTTTAGCATTGTTGAAGATCGGCTTCCGCAGTTTTCGTAGATTTGACGGGTGGTGAGCGGCTGCAATGGGAAGTGGAGGTGGGGGTGCCACCTAAGACGAAGAGAGGTTTAGGCTTAGAACTGACCCTGTCGTTTTCGCTAAAACTCGTCATCTGGATAGAATCTGATGACAGCCGGGTACATGGTGTCATCAATTTCGGGGGCGGCCATTTCAAGGAGGGCATGGAGGACTTTGAGACCTTCTTTGCCACTCCAGGATGAATTCGCCAAATCGTTGAACTTCGAGTCCGATAAGGAGACCAGCTTTTGCGTCGAGTCGTATCGTGACGTTCCTTCGCCAGCATGCGAATTGAGATTGTGCTGTCAAAAGATACCGTCAATAGGATGAGGCAACGGCAAGACAATAACTCACGCGCAATGATTTTAGGTCACCTTGTCGTCGCATGAGAAGTGACGCGTTTCGGAACCACAAATGTCGAGTTGACTGGAACTTGGCCAAGAGATCAATGTAGATCGACGGCTGACTGAGAAAGAGAGCCTTGGTGGAATCATCAGACGGCTTTAAACAGGAAGGGCGTTTGAGGCGAACCTACCATAGAGTTGAAGAGCCCCTCAACAGCACATGCGTGAAAACAGATAACAAAGGCGTACAAACCTATCCAGAAGAGATTAGACAAAGGGTGTTGGCAGAAAAAGACGCGTACTTTTCACCGGAACATTCTTCTAGCAGAGACTTGCGAACCACAACGTCCATCCACCACCAAGCAGTCGCCAAACTTTCAACCTCAGTTATCGATTCCTTCGCTTTTGCTTTCCCACCGCTAGCACACAGAGAGGGTTTCAACGAAGGATACAGTGAGTGATACCTTGAGGTCTCAAAATACTTTGACAAAGACGTCCGAAACGCCACTGTTTCCGAAGGTTGCGAACACGGATACATCGGTAGAATCTAGTGACCTACGCGTGTCAAGAACTAAACCACACTACCAAAAAGCATTTAAACTCACAGTCTTGGCACCATCTCGCCCACCCTCTAGCTTTCCGACCAAAAAAATTTAAATAACAGATGTCCTCCATGAGCTTCGTCCGGTCTCGCAAGCCCCGCCCACGCGGGTTGAAGACATTGTGATCGTACTCTGGCTTGTTCGCGTGAGGGTACTCAAGTACTCAAGGATGTGGAGGTGAACTAGGAGAATCAGAGGAAGAGGCAGATATGATCGATATCGACATAAAAAGATTATTTTTATTATTTTTATCATTTTTATTATTTTCTTATGCCACTGACCAAAAACTAAGGGACATGCGTCGGCGCGCATGTGGTACGTACAACGACTTTTTACATGTCGGTACTAAACGAACGCGTCATTGCTTGCATTAGCTTATCTTCAACGACACCCGCATCCCAACTGCATCCTCAATTGGACAAGGGAAATGCTTGGGAAATGCGGTGAGACAACAGCGAGTCTAATAGAAGTCGATTTTCTGTCGATTCTCTTTGAAAGTAAAAACAGCTCCATCCTGTTTATAACAGCTTGTCGCCGAAGCTTATAGGTTTGCTTATCGTTATGCTCTATACAGCTGCACCATTCCATGCGTCGATTGTATCGGATGCCATCGCAGACGGGGCCTTCGGGGCACTGTCGTGCCTAAATATCTAGCAGGTTGTAAAGCGATCACTACCATTCTTCCCCGACTATCCACTCCGGGGAGCACATCTTGTGTATGGTACCCAGTGTGCAATGTAAGTACTTCAAACATAAGTGAACCGTTATCACCCATATTCCACTGAAAGCTTCTCAGTGGCGGTTGCAGTGATGGCTCTATACGATCACTGTAAAATTCTTCGTAAACTTCATAAATCACTCGTTTACTCACTATTTGCTAGTCTCCCGTAGGCAACTCCTATGATGAGGGTGATGACAGTCGATCTCCCTCATATGGAACTATTTGCAACGTCAGTTACCACAATCGTCAATTCGTCTTGGCCGAACGCTGATCTTACCAATGTGTCCGAGGACATAAGGTTATATGGTACGGCATCTGAATTTATTGCTAAGTCCATCGTGAAAATTCTTTTCACCATCGTACGTCGTCTGCTTCTGAATATTGAACTTTGAAGAAAATTAAATTTATAGAATTGATATTTTCAAGGGGGTAGCGGGACGTGGATCCCGCACCAAGGGTAGGAGGGGGGGGTGTCCGGCCGAAGGCCGAAAAAAAAAAGTGACACCCCATCAATTTTCAGATTTTGAAGGGCAGCAACATTCCAGCTTCGGACACGGACGGTCCAAACCAAGAGTACTATCACCTACGTCGACACACCCTACACTCCCCACACCGCCCCAGGCCAAGTGCCTCTTCCTTCTCTGAATGAGTTACACCACTCGGACGCTTCACTTTCTTTCTCGGCCTACACATTAAAGAGTCACTTTTGAAGATTTATCACATGCACAGTAATGAAGAAATGCCCTCTCATTCTGTACCGTCAGTAGCCATCAGTGTAGCTACTTACCCAGGATGATCCGTCTTTAAACAAGTTTTTTCAATATCATGCTAGCACAGGCCCGTTATATGCATCTTCAGTGGACTCGACTTAGCTTAAACTTAGTTTACGGCCAACCGCCTGTGCGTAGTTGACTTGTTACATGGAAATATTTTGAATTCAAAAAAAAAAAAAAAGAAAAAAAAACATGAGTGTGGGAAAAAAATACTTCATTAGGAAGGTAATGGTGGGGGGGTGTCAGGCAGAACCCTGAAAAAAAAATAACGAGTGTTGGTCTCTTTTCCACATTCCGCCACCCCCTTGGATATTTTGCAGAAGGATTCATTCTGTGTGTAATTGTCAGTCCCGTAAACACCTGCGGTTTGTTGACGTGCGTTCGCAGATACGTAGTAGCATCTGAACGGAGAGTTACAAATCCGATGATTATCGCAGAGAATTTAGAAATTCCACCTGCACCTTTCTTCATGTTTGTTCACTCTTGGACCTTTACTTACCAAATTACCATGGTGAGTATCGATTCGGATCTATTTTTATATGGAATTAGGGCCTCTGAGGCTGAGCGCTGAGCACCCTGACATTTTGACAATAACCAATTTTTCAGTTTGATGTTCGGCGACTCCCGCTGTGGCGTCGCCTGATCACGATCTTTGCAGAACGACCCTTGAAACTTGAAAGGCCCCAGCGCACGAGATCGACCGCAACAGCTACTTAATGGTCGGTGGATGACTTGACCCGACTTTTGTTTCTACTGCCGGTGACGACCGCTGACGCGTCGTCACTGACAACTTCACTTCAAAAGACAACGAGACCAGCCCCGTCGCGTCAAGCATCAGTCGTGACAGTCGTCCACGTCAAATCTACTTGTAAACTGAATGAAGGGGACGTAGATCGTGTAGAATTAGTAGGCAGTGTCACTATGGAGGAGGATTTCCCACATGAAAAGTAGAGCGACCTGAGTTGCTATATTGATTCAGGAAGTCACCATAGGTCACCGTTTTTGTGTTTAAATTTGAAACCAATTTTCTTGTTCGGGAGTTGCAGATCCCTTGATCCCGTGCCTCGACTTCGCAAGTCAAATATTCGATTCTCGTCTATTCTCGTCTGACTTGATACAGTTTTCGATCTGTATGGAATCGCCTTAAAAAACATGTGGATGTTATTTACGAGATGAAGTATCGTCTGGTAACTTCACTCTGGTGGAGTAGTCGCCAAGTAGTCGCTGGAGAGTAGGAGTCAGGAGGTCGGCACGATAATCTTTTTTCCCACCCCTTGTAAGAGCCAGATAAGGGTCTAAAAACCTTGAGGATCTGCGGCACTACCCGAAAATCTTCTCCCCATTGAAATTCGACTCGGATGACCCTAAGTATGTATTGACGGAAATCGAGGTCTGTCACGGTGAGCGTTTGTTTGTGGGCATTCAAAACGTCCACGTTGAGAGCGGTCATTATCACTTTCCTTCTCCCTCTTACATCCATATGGATGGAATGCTTGGATCCAGCTTCGCCAGCCTTACCCAACAGGCACAGTTCCAAACATACTTCCAAGGTACTTACGTTCATCAAGCAACATGTTGCTTCCGTTGCTAATAGCTTTTCCGAATCAGTCGCGATCACGGCTGCGGTTCTTTATGACCACGGTCAGTTCTTTAGGAATTCCTTCTCAAACGAACGCTAACAGTTGGGTATTCTAGTCATAACATTGGACGTAGAGGTGAGGTTTACTTGTTACTGGCGCCCGACCTTCTCTTACCTTGTCGCTACTAGGTCGAGCTCATCTGGGTATGGTTAAATGCGGGGGCGAGACCTGCTATTGATTGTGTTCGCAGAAGAAAAAATGGTCCGCTGTGAATGTCTTCTTCATAATTGTACGTTTTTCGTACCTGAGCTTCGGGTATTGATTTCATGAACGATCGGGTTTTCAGAATCGATACTTAGGCGAAGCCGTTCCCTTGTACGCGAAAATTCTGACATTTCCGTTATTATGATTACGTTTTGCTCAAAGGCGTTGTTAGATACTTGGCGAGAGGTGGGGAATATCGTTTCTCAACTTAGAGCCGTTAAGCTAATTGTTTCGTTCAAGTTTTGATACTTCGATTTTCCCCCCAGGACGTGAGTTCGAAATTTACTCTACCCCTTAACGTTTAACTTCAATACTTACCACTTCCTGTTTTCCTTGCAAAGAATGTGTCTCAGCAGTGAGTCTAGACTTCTTCCTCTGCATGACAATTAGCTTCAACTCATACAATTGCTTAGATGTACGTGAATACCACTCTCAAGAATAACGCCAACGGGCTGATAACTTGCAGGTAATATTGCGTCAAAGGTTCAAGGATGGGGATCCCATGTTGTGATTTGGTCGATGCAAGGTTCGTAGCAGGCATACTACCATTATCACTGACTGACTTGAGTCGATGACCAACCCAGCCATTATGCTATATCGAATCTGTTGCCTGTACAAGAATTCAAGAAAGGTAACAATTTGGATGTCTATCCTATTTGCCCTTGAAATAATCTCGATGGTGGTGACCGACGCGCTTTACTTGCGTGACCTCCCCTGTAATTTTTTTTATGAAATAAGTCATATCGATTACTTATCCTCATTTTATCCAGCTCATGGTGGATCTAATGCTCCTACTTCCTCGGGCCCTTCCTCTCCATGTCCTCCAGGCCCTCCTCCTTCAGGCGGTCCTCCAGGTCCTCCTCCTTCAGGCGGTCCTCCAGGTCATCCTCCCTCAGGCCTCCCTCCCCCTTCTTCCTCGGGTCTTCCTTTTTCTCAAGGAAACATCCCCGTATGCCTAGTATTTTCTCCAAGCTGGTATTTAATATCGTGGACGCCAATATTTGTGCTTGAGCTGCTAATCCTGCTAATGGGATTACGAGCTGGCTTAAGCTACTTCAAGGAAACAAGATCACTCCCCTCATTAAACAGATTTCCTTTACATTCAATCCTGCTGCGCGACAGTATTCTGTTTCCCATGATGTAAGAAACATTTCAATGCGTGCGTCGTGCTCAACCCTCGAAATAGCGCTTTTTTCGTAGGGATCTTCAGTATCATGGGGTGGGCTCGACCAACGGTAAGGCATCAGACGTTTAGATATTCTTCGCGCTCATCTTTTCGCAGCGTTATTACATGCCAGTCGCCAACGGCTTACCCCAATTATTCTCGAGAGTTTTAGGCTGCCGCCTGATTCTTAATCTTCGAGAGGCGTATTATCTTCCTTTCGAAGAAGAATGTGGGCAGCCTGACAAGCTTCCGACTCTTATCTTCCATAACACCGTGACAGATGACGAGCCCGGAGTGGTGGATTAACTTTTGGGTGCCTCTGAGATGCTGCTTGTGCCTGAAAATTTGTACTCGTTTTTAGTATTTACTTCGGTGTCGCGGTATCGAGATTCAGCTGGAGCCTTGGAGTGCAGAATTGAGACGTGGAATAGGACTAATCGGAATTGGGACATCTACATATTATTACATATGACATACCTCCAATGTTCGGTTCAAAGGTGGTGTGTCCAGTCGCAAATCCCCGAAAGGCGCCTGCGTTGAAGAGCGTTGAAGTCACTCATTCCAACGTTTACAGAACCAGGCCCACGTACCCAAGCTCCTGGCTCACTTCCGGGGTCGAAAGCAACTCGCGTTGATTGGCAAACAATTGCAAACTTACACTAACTTTCCGATTTCTGCCCATCGTCGTCAACGTCAGTCAAGAATCCTCCAAGGCCGTCCTCAAAATCCGCCACGTAAGTAGCTAATTCTTGCC